ACTAAACCCGGTGTGGGGGTTCTTTGCTTTCTCACTTGTTTATCCCCTCCGTGAGGACACTGGAGTAAAACTAAGCACTTGCTGTGTGCAGAGGAGCTGCAGGTGACCTCTGGCAGGGGCCTCGCAGGGCTCCAGCAGTAATGAGGAGATTTGCTGTGGCTGTTAGAGCAGTGTGCTGAGCTGCCTTCAAGCAGCAGCTAATAGGAGTGGGAGCCTTCATCCATACAGCTCTTTATGTAACGCTCCTTTCAGTCTGCTTTTGCTCTGAGGCAAACGTTTCCTACTTCACTTGTTCTTTGGCTCTGCTGAAGAGATGAGGCAAAGGTAACTACCACTGCTTTGTATGCACTGTCACCTCAGCCTGGAACCACAGGGTTTAATGGTCAGCTCCACACACAGGAGCCACTGCTAACAAATGACACGGTGCCCCCACATAACCAATATCCACCGTGTTACCGGAGAGATTTTGACTTCCAGAAATCAACTGGACTCCAGAGGGAAAGTCAATGAGAGCTACAGCTTGCTAGAAAGAAAACAGATCTGGAAGAGTTTGGTTGGTAACTTGCTTGTGAAATAAATAAGCAGTGATAGAAACTGGAATCCTCACTCTGAGGGGGAATCTGGCTGGGAAGCAGGGGGGTGCCCACATTCTGTCCCATGCACCCCATACACATGACCAGCCACTCCTCACACATTGCTCCCTGATAGTGTCTCATGGGATTGACCCTCATGATCCCAAGAAACCAACAAGTCACAGAAAACATTACAGCACAGCACAGCAGCAGAACTATTGCAGCACTAGTTCCCCAGTGACCTTGCTGTTTAGATGACAATCCAGCTCACCCAGCTGAATCATGCCAGGCTGGAGCAGTGTGGTCTCCCCTTCCTTCTTAGCAATTCAGACTTGTCAGCTTTCCTCCAGCTGCTCTTCAGAGCCAGGCCACTTGTTACCCCCCCTCAGCATGCAGCACTGACAACGGGTGTCTGCCATGTGCAAGGCTGTGGGGCATATATTAGGAACAGATAGATGTGATGCTAGATAAGAGATGTTATAAATGTATCTATCTATCTCACCTGTAACTGCCCAAGCAGTCAAGGAAATGAGCTGCTTCTCCAGTGTCGGCGCTTTCAGGCTCCTGACCTCACTGCTGTAACCTGTGGCTGGGGGTAGTATAAAATGCTGTATATTCACCATTATCTGCTGTGTCTTAGAGAAGACAACCAGTCAACCAAGACTGGAGAGTGTGGTGCCAGCCTGCCAGCCCCTTCTTCCCTCCCCCTCAAAAAAGAGGCTCAAGAAAGCAAGATGTTTGTGAATCCATCCCTCCAATTCTGCTTAAAACCCAGTACGCAGCTTCGAGTGGAATAATGATTTCTTGATGGATTCTCATAAATGGACTGTTCCCCACATTATCTGAAATAATCGGTTCATAATGATCACAAAACGAACAGCAGGTAGGAAATGAGCTTGCAGTTGCCAAAACATAATGGATCATTTAGTCATTCTCTGAAGGCTTTAACACTTCTTTGGCTATCAGAGGCCTTTGCCTAATTGCCCTGTTCTTATTATAAATCTGGCTGCTGCAATCAGTTAATTCACATCAGAATAAGGCCCACAGAAAATAAACAGTGAAAAGCAGACAGATTCAAGTCGTAGTCACTCCATCCTGATTTAACTGATGAACCCTACAGTCAGGAGTGTGCTTTCCCTCCTGTTTCTGGTGCTGTTTGATTACACAGCTAAGGTTCACACAAACAGAAGACAGCTCCTGTGATGGTGTGTGCTTGCTTGCATAAAGCCCGAGAGGAGCTCCATCAATCTGTCACTGCAAGGAAGTAAAGATTTCAGAGTAGCAGATTGCATGACAACTCTTAACTTCTTTATCACCATTTTTACACATAGTTGGAGGTAAAACACTACCAAGGAAGAAATTGCCTCTGCTCCAAAATGTCCTCTTCCAAGCTTCATTTTTCCATCCGTGGTCTTAACATAAAAGCCGGGCTGTCATTTAACAACACAAGTACAACACAGAGCTGTGCCCATATTCCCACCTGCAGCCATACACCTCCAGCCCCTTCTGATCAATCTTTTCCTTTAAGAATCCTTTTTACCTCCCACCCCCATATATTTTGCATCTTCTTGTAATGTTTTATTCTTTCTTCAGTCATTTCCAGCCCCTCTTCCCCCAGCCAACAACAGTGACAAAACCCAGTCTCATAATCACATCCCAAAGCCTTGCAGAGTTTTCTTTTGCCATTAAAATCCTTGCATTAAGCACTGGCTCCATCCATGTCTGGGGGAAAGTTGGCAGAGCCAGGAGGACATCTGTGGCTTTCCATAGATAAGCTCATGTCTGCTCTGTCAGACTGTGTTCAATATTTATTCTGGAATTTCTTGGATCCTTTTTGCTCTTCTTTAAAATAACCCTTATTTTTGGGGTGAGCTGCTTTATGGAAAGGAGCTGGACAAGCCATTTAAATGTATGCATTTTCCAATTGGTCCTGTGGTAGAAACTCTGCTTCAATTATATTCTCTGGTCTAGTGGTTTCAAAGAGATACTGAGGTGTAACTCTGACAGCAGTCTGACTTTGGTGAGTGTTCAGTGTATGTGTACATGAAGATGTAATTAAGATTTAAAGAAATGTCTCACATCAGGTAAGTGGGCCATGCCTTACCCTGAACTGCCATTTCCATTGGTTCAGGAAAACTGAATGGATCCAAGTGCTTCCTTTGCCTGGGTCCACAGGTACCCCCACCCCACTGCTCTCCCCACAGACCTGGATGGTGCTGTGCCACCTCCCCAATGGGGCCTCAGAGGACTTGCTCCAGGTTCAAGTCTTTGCACACAAAAGGCTTTGGTCCTTTTTGTGTGTCTCAGAAGACCGCACTGCTCCTGTTTCCTGCACAGGAAGGCAAGCTGCATCCATGATGCCATTTAAGATGTTTTCCATTGTGGCTCGATAATGCAGAAGGTTAGGAGAACTAGAAGATGCTATTTAGAAAGCATTTGGACTGATTTGTATATAGAGCTACTATTTCTGTGAATGCAATCTGGATAATTATGGCCCTAAATAGCCAAACTATTTGTGCAGAGCTTCCTCCACAGCTGTAATTACACTTGCGTTTTGCACATCCAGTTAAGCCTGCACTGAAGTGCAGGAAAAATTGCCTGCAACAATATAATGAAACTCTAGATCCTCCAAGGAAAGCAGGGCCACACTCCTGAAGTGGGCTCCATAGAGGGAAGGCAGCACTGACAGTGATTTGTGGGTGACAACTGAATCCCCATCACAAGTAATAGGAGAAAGTCTTGAGCAAGGCAGTCATTACATTGGAGGACCTTCATTCAGTTTAAGAGGCATCTCTAGAAGAAGGCTTATAGAAAAGGGAGTGGAAAATAGCCTCAGTTCACAGTCACATGCAGGGCTTTCTAAGGAAAAAAACAAGACAGTATTTTTATACTTGGGCTGAGGCTGAGATCACAACTTCTGTTTTATACAAATAGATAAATTTAGCCAGATACGAATTTCCAGTGTGCTGCAGAAGCAGGAGACAGCTGGTATCTGGGATGAGTTAAATTTACCTTCACTTACCTTGCATTTACCTTAGTGTCACTCATCCCTGGGTAAAGGCAACGAGAAGGGACACATGGATCCTGGTCAAATTTGTGTTTCAGAGATCAGGAAAGAGAGCCCATTCTCTGCCACAGTTTGCTGAACAAGTGTGTTTTCATTTCCTTTGGTAATAAAAATGGCCTGCACTAGATCCCAAAGCAGGACCCCAGAGTAGGTGAGATGGGGCCAGAACTGTCCTTTCACCTGCACAAAGAAGACCAAGACAGTCTCAGGTATGTTGGAAACACAACATTCTTTTAACATTCAGATTGAGAAAATCAGGATGGAAGTAACCAGTGGGTTTTTATGGATCTGTGCCTGGGAGTTCCGCATTCACCACCACCACCAGCGACTGGCTTGTTTAATGAAGCGAGAAAACCCCACTGGATTCATGCCCCTGGTTCCTGTCATTCAGGTGCAGTGCACTGAATTTGTGTTACACTTATTTGTGAGTTTAATGTTTCTAATATTAATTAAAATCTCTGACCTTGCCTCCTGGGTTCAGCCACCTCGGGCAGGTAACAGTGAATGTGATAATCTGCAGCTTTTACAATCATTAACATGTTTTTCTGGCCTTACCTCATTCTGTGCAGTGCTGTTACTCTGCAAGAAAAGAGCCACTGCAATGTCTTGGGTATCACCAATTTCCCAAACAATACACAAATAGAAATGATCACATTAGGTGGGTTTGTAAATACCCTCAGAAATCCCCCTGTCAAGAACCTCACATCCCTCAGTTCAAGTCTTCCCAGTACTAAGAACATCATTCCTGCTAACTCCACCCAGCACATGCTTTGGAGCTGCTTGGCAGAAATTTTTGGTGAAAACTTACAGTATTTTATTCCCCAATCCTAGATTTTTTGATTAGGAAATGCTCTTACAGTGTTTCGTGTTTGTCTGGCTGCCTCCTGCTCCTGTCCTGGCTAAACTCGGTGTAAAATGAGAATGCTGTACTAATGCCTCCCTTCATTTTTGAACCTTGGTAAGGGTTTGAAGGGTTTTTCCTACCTAGGTAGAGCTTTTCACTCCAGACACGCCCATGGTGGGAGGCTGCTCACTGCAGCATTGTTCAACCCAGAACTGGTGCTGTGAGGCCTCCCTGCATGGGAGAAAGTCAGTCCTTCCATTGGTACACTTGTTTTAAAAGAACACATCAAACTCTAATCCTATTAAAATAAATCACTCTATCAAAGTACATGTGTTCCAGGAAGAAAAAGCCAATATTTATACCCTAGCTCCCAACATGCTGTTAAACCACAGCACTAGCTGTAAAACTAAAGGCAAAACTATAGAAAAAACACTTTATCACCACTGTAATTTGCCTTCTCAACTTGAAACCCTGATGGTGGGGGAATAAGTCTCACCAGAAGCCACTTACTGGGAGACTCCAGGCAGCACCTTCCACTGTGGAATGATGATGGTGGATGATGATGATCTTGGCTTCCCCATCACTGCTGCTGCCACAGTGGAGCCAGCGAAGAAGTAAACCAGGTCCTTCGCAGGCTGCGTTGAGTGAGATGAAGTTGTGTAGAAGCTGCAGGACAAATCGTAAGGGAAAGTGGTGACTACATTTTGACATTATTGTTTGTTATAAGCACTTATGGTCTTAATGCTCTGTCTGATGATCCACTTCGGTGGCTAAATTAGCTCTTTCAAGGGGGATTTCATTCCTGAAAACCAAAACAAAACACCAGCTTAACAGATCTTGAGGGCTTAAACATTCTAATGAAATAAAAACAAGCTGGAGTTACCACAGCTTGATATGCACAAACCTTCCAAAATACATCACAACAACTGGCAGCAAGTACCTCAGATCAAAGGAGGCTTCTACACTTACGTAGAGTTGCATAACTCTATTAAATATTTAGGTGATAAATGGGAATGCATCCCAGAGGTATATGTATACAGGCAAACACACACACTCACATATATATCTACACATACAAAGCAGTCCAGAATATCTACAGCTGTAACTCTACATGTCTATATGTACACATGAACATGCATTTGTATGTTTAACACACACAAACATACAGGACATATCACTTTGAGATCAAATTCTACTCAGCAACCAATTATATCTTTTTCCCCTGAGCAATACTATAAATATTAATGTGGTTTCTTTATCCTAAAAGTTGAGGCTGTCAACTTACAGGAACTGCTAATTCAAAGGAAAGGAAATGTGGCTTTTGGGTATAGGAGTTACTTTCATTCCCAGGACTGTCAGCAGACAGGTATCGTGTAACACGCTGATTTCCAAGTCATAAGCCATCGTTTTCAGCACACGTGTGTTAACATCAAGTTTGTGAGTTCAGAGTATCAAAGGCAGCAATGCAGTCAGTGACAAGAATCACAGATTTCAGACACAAGCACAGTGGAATATCTGCTAGAAATCATTACAAACAGCTATGTAAATCAACTCAAAATGGGTCTTAAATATGCAACAGATATTAAAGGCAAACTTTGATTATTCCAAATCCTGGTTTAATTAACACTTACTCATAGTCTGGCTTTATTTTTTCATCTCCTGTCTGTCATTTATTTGACGTCTCTGGTGTGATGGGAGTGGTATTTAAAATGAATTGGAAATACAGGAAAAGAAACTATTTCCAATACTCCGTCTGCCTACAGATTCTGCTGGCTTATATTAGCAGCTTTGTCATGTAACTGGCCAAAATGCTTGTCAGGGTGTTAGCCAAGGAACAGATGGGTCAGTGGTTTTCAATAAGAGACAGGTTCAAAGCATCCCCTTCATCTTTAAATGTGATTCTCACTACTTTAATTGTAGGTGTGGAAAGCTGTTGTTAACAGCACTTGACACAATCTCATATATGAATGAATGTACTTCTGCTCCCCCTGGGCAGCACACTCCCAGCAGCTGACCCTGACCTTGATTCTAACAGAAATCATCACTCAGGACAGAGTTTCAAGAGAAAGAATTGTCTTCTTCCTCTCCCCAGCACATTTTCCTATCAAACCCAGCTCCTTCGCTGCTGAGCGTCTCCAAAATCAGCCTGATGCTGAGGCTTTGAAATTATGCTGAAACAGAAAAGTAGGGCAGACAAGGAGAGGAAATCTTTCAAACGCAGCCGTGATTGCTGTGAGTCCTGATTCCACTGCAGGCAGTATTAAAATGTGCTGGCAGAGTTGGGCTGCATCTTAAAGTCAAAGCCCTGCCTGGTTCCGAGTCTCGCACCAATGCAGAATGGGTCAGCTGGTGCAGTCTGAGAAGTAGGAACACTCTTCTAAATAAAACACATTAACAATAGATGCCTTACATTCATTTTCTTACTTGGAGATTACTTTTTATTATGTAAAGCATATTGTTCAATGTGAAGTGTTCTTAAATGCTGGATAACAGGTGATCTGGCCTTCACTCAGTCCCACAGTTTACTTTGGGTCTACATTACAAGAGTGAATCATAGAATCCCAGCCTGGTTTGTGTTGAAGGGACCTTAAAGCTCCTCCAGCTCCAACCCCTGCCACAGGCAGGGACCCCTTCCACTGGAGCAGCTTGCTCCAAGCCCCTGTGTCCAACCTGGCCTTGAGCACTGCCAGGGATGGGGCAGCCACAGCTTCTCTGGGCACCCTGTGCCAGCGCCTCAGCACCCTCACAGGGAAGAGCTGCTGCCTTATATCTAACCTGAACTTCCCCTGTTTCAGTCTGAACCCATCACCCCTTGTCCTGTCACTACAGTCCGTGATGAAGAGTCCATCTCCGGTATCCTTGTAGGCCCCAATAAATCTGAATGAATCTGGCTCCAAGGCTTCTAACTGGCCAAGTAGTACTTGGTACAATAAAAAAGTCAACTTCTGCTGCAGAGTGGTAGATTCTAAATTCTGGCTGCAATACAGAAGCAGCCTGTAGGAATGTTATCTTATTTCCTTATTTCCTTTCAATGCTCTTCCTGTCAGTAGACAATTACGTTGTCAAATCTGTATGCAAATAAACACGAGGTACGCAAACCTCAGCTAATGTAACAGCTGCTCTAAGTTTGCAATCAAACTGTGCTGATCACTCCTGTCACTTGGAAATTGCTTTTCCCCTGTTATTCAGAGGAGGTAAAAAATAGTTTACATTGTTCCTGCCGCTGATCCAGATTCCCTTATCGTTAGACCTGCACAGACTGGAGCGAACAGGAAGAAATCAAAGACAGACTGATAAGCCCCAGTCAGGCAGTTAGCTCATCCAGCAACACGATGATGTCTTTCAGCATGTTAAGATGAAGATCTTCCAGCTGAAGAGCATACAGGCCCTCCTGTAAAGAGTAAAATACTGTCACTGACCTCCAGAGTTTCCCATTTTGCAGATCTCTATCACTGCTCGAGGAGACGGGTCCAAAACTCTTGAACAGGCAGCTCCAGGCAGCTCATCACTTTCAAGAGTGATTTCCAGCAAATCCTCTCTGCCCCAACAGCACCTCCAAAGATAATGCAATGCCAGGGACAAGTGAATCCCAGGTGCCTTTACATCCTGGCTGAGGAGGAAGCCAACCTCTCCCTTCAAACTGAAAGTCATTTCAGATAGAAATGTCTGTAACTTCAGGACCAGTTGACACTCCAATACGTGCTGTCAGGGTCCACGTGAGGCAGTGAGTAACAGCACCTCTTCTGATATGCCATCACTCTACCTCTTATTACAGCATTGATTTTTGCTACGCCTGACATCTTCAAACTCACTCATACAACAGGCACAGTCTTCCTATTTTTAGATATATTGTCAATATTTTCTTCCAGTGTAATTTCTGCCTGGTTTGATCCTAAGTTAGCACCTAAGGTCCATTTTCCAGGTTATGTCAAGGGGAAAATTCCCTTTGATCAATACTTTTTCTCTGCCTCTTTCATTCTTGTCTTCAACTGCCAGATTTACCCTGAAACTCAAAGAAGCCTCCAGCAACACACCACAACCTGGCATAGTCAGCGCACAGCTACATCCTTTGTGGTCTTCAAGAAAGGGAAGGCTGTCATGAATTAGGACTCACCTGGATGTGGCACTGACAGCTGGTGTCTCTGCTCTCATGAATTATTTAGATAAGAACTGCAAGGATCTACATAATAGCAAACAAAGAAGCAGATTTGACCTTTTAACATGTAGTAAGTTAAAGTGCATCTGCAGGGATGAAAGACACAAACAATCTCATACTGTTAGAAGCTATAATATTTACAGCAAGTGATGCTTGCTCTTCCAGTGTCCCCCAGCCCTTGTATTTAACTGTGCTGGAGCTTTCATTCTTCACAAAACCCAAGGATTTTCTTGAAATCATTTAAATAACAGCTTACCTGGCTTTAAATAGTTCCTTCTTCCTGCGTGCATTACACACCTGAAAGAGTGTAAAGGCATTTTACTCTGTAACGTAGATGCTAATTCCTCACTGTCTTTATCACGTTTCAGCTAAAGGAAAGACTATCAAAGTAAGAGCCTGAAACTGCAGAAAAGGAAATCCAAGGGAGATATTAGGGAAAACTTTCTAGTTGTAAGAACAGTGAATCACAGAGAGAGCTGTGAAGTCTTTATGTGTCTTTACCAGGCTAGAGAGATGTCTGTCAGAATGACCCAAGTACCAAGCTAGGGGGGGTCTGTAGTTCCGTGATTTTTGTTATGGATCAGACTTTATCTACATCCCTGTAGGAACTGGGGCAGGAATTTGCAACCATTTGGCTCATTCCTGATAGGGGCTGAATTCTTTAATGACCTGAAGAGCAAGCTCCTGGGTGCCTTTGGTATTTAGCAAAGCCTCAGCTGTGAGGTAAGTGCCTTTCTATTTGCACTGATGCTCTGCTTCCTTACTTGGGTTCAGTTGCAAGGCAGGCAATCCTCTTCACTTGCAGCAAGGCACTCACTAATTAAAACTTAAGGAGATTAATTTGAGAAAGTAAGATGTTCTGCAGTTCCCCTTCAGTGTTCTTATACATCCAGACTGACATTTGGTTTAACAGGAAGTTACCTTTCATAGAGCAGGTTTTTGGTGACTGAGCCTGAACTATCTCCCCCTTTGCTCCCATCCTTGTCCCCCATCAGAATCACAAGGAGGGCTGCCTGGTGTGACTGCACTATTTGTACCTTCCTACGCACGCAGACACATTGCACTGCAATTTATTCCACTACTTCACAAGCATCAAACCAACCCTTTTGCTTTACACTTCTCCCCTACTGCTTACATATTCTGTTTTCTAACAACAGCTCCACTACAAACCGCTATCTCCAGGCTCTTTTCAGTTGATGGTGGGCATGGAAAAGAACCCAGACTCAGATGAGAATATTCTCCAGTATTCATAAATATTCCAGTGCTGCATCTCCCAGCCTGGCTGCGTCTCTGACAAACACAAGAAGCTTCCTGGGTTCCTCTCCAGACAACCTGGCAGCTTTACAGACAGAAGCATGAAACAGCAAAAGGTCAAGTGCCACATTTTTGCTGCAGTCAGGTTTGGGAACACAAAGCATGCAAGAAACACACCAAGACAGCTCCATTTTGGCTGTTAAAAGTGTGCAAGGGTTTACTGGTGAGCCCATTGGGATTTGACTGCATCAGGACATTTTTTCCCCTTCTGAAGGGGAAGTTGTGGAGATGCTATTGACACTGGTGTGACCGATGTGGGCATTAGTAGCAAGACTGCTGAATCGTTACCTGTTGACATAATTCAGGTTCAGATGTCAAAGCTAACCCATTTTCAAACTAACGAAAGGGGAAAGCTCATATCCATACAGTGCTGTGGAGACTAAAGGGGAAACAGTGCTTTTAACTTCCACTTGGTGAAAAAAACCATCCACAAGACAAAAAGACCGTCTCAGAGCAGGGAGCTGTGACCTTCATCCCCGGTCTGAACCTTCCAAAGCACCATTAAGGAAGGAGAGACCTTGAAGGAGTTGCAAATGAGTATAGCACTGAGGTAACAGGCCTCACACCCTGGGGGATTTTTATCCTTCCTGGAGACTAATCAAATTTGTTCCTGGCATAAAGCTATGAAAGTCACCCCAGGGAAGAGTCTGGACCATTGGCTGAACAAGGGTTTAATACAAAATGACGTATTTGCCTTTCAGTTTGCCATTTGAGACACCACAATGAAGGGAAAAGGCTAAAAAAAAAGCCAAGACAACAATTCTTAATAAATGTCTTGCTTTCCCTAGGCCAAGTTCGGTTAAAAACTGAAGCTATTGCAACCAAGGTTTGAGAATGTGTTCTCTATACCATTGGGGTTTTTTCCCTGTTTTACTGCCAAGTATTGCAGCTTCATGGCCTAATACATCTTTCCCTCACTGAACCACTGCAAACCAGGATGAACCCTTGGCCCTGAGCTGGGACACCACTGACTGGTGCTCAGCGCTGCTTAAGTCCCATTGATCTCCCTGGGGGAAAGATCATGAGCCCCTGATGGTGCTTTTTAAGGACTGGGGCAGTGTTGACCCTGAACTGAGGGTGGTTTAGATGCATGCTGTAAAACCAAGTGGTTTGATAGGGAAAAAACTATCGCTGTGCATTTCATTTGCTTCTTCAATCAAGTTTGTTCTGAGTATTCGTAATAGTCATAGAAGCATAGAATGGGTTGGGTTGGAAATGACCTTAAAGCTCACCCAGTTCTAATGCCCTGCCATGGGCAGGGACAACTCACACTAGACCGTGTCATCCAAGGCTTTGTCCAGCCTGGCCTTGAGCACTGCCAGGGATGGGGCAGCCACAGCTTCTCTGGGCACCCTGTGCCAGCGCCTCAGCACCCTCACAGGGAAGAACTTCCTTATATCTAACCTGAACTTCTCCTGTTAATTAAACCCATTTCCCCTTGACCTATCACTACAGTCCCTGATGAAATTATAGTAGATGTCATTTTGATGAAGAGAAGCTGAAAACTATGCCATATTAGCACAAGTTAACAACGTTACCTTAATCACAGCTCCCATTCTTATTTTCCTTTGGTTTTTAACTATTTCCAAGGTAACTTTCCTTGTGTTGCTTGAGTTATACTTCCCCATTTGTGTTTTAGTCAGCATGTTGCACACTGAATTTGCTGACAGGGACCTGGTAATCACTGGACTATGATGACATGGCAGGTTAATAATACAGCTCCATGTGCCTCAATTCATTCCTACTCCATATTCACAGGGAAAAAAAAGCTGCCTGAGTGGTGGCACTGCTCAGTAGCTTACTGTGCCAGAGAGACAGAGCCATTTGATACAGCTACCAAGGAAACAATCTTTTCTTGATGGCTACTTTGTGTGGCTCCTGTGCTATCTGGGAGATTTGTAAAGAAGGAACTAATTATAACAATGGTAATGTAATACAAGTAGCAAAAACACTGAAAGCATCTGTGTCTGTGTGGAGATACATACAGCAGGAGGAGATCACCCACCAGATCTGGCACTGCAGACTGTTTCTCATCATGTAGTCCAATATAATAAGCATTTGAGAGTCCCTGTTGCAAGCAAGTATTTAAAGACTAACATTAAAGGAAGTCTAAACCTTCCCAATCAATTGTGCAAGTAAAATCAGCAGTGAAGCAACAACAGAAATTGAAGCACAGCTAGAAGGAAATTAAAACCAGCTACCCCAGAATACCTGCCTTAATTAAACGTTAGCTGGGAACAGGTGAATTAAAATAGGAATGATATCTGAATTCATAAAAGAGCAGGAAAACGATTCAGACTTTTTTCTGGGAATTCTAGTATAATTTACTGAGATTCAAGGCATTTTGCTGTCTAGACAGACAAGCTTCACATGGCCACTTTGTGAGAAAGGGTCTGATTGTAGCTGTGGCTGATGCAGCATCATCTGGGAGCTGACTTAAACAAGGAAGCTCATGTTAGGTATTAGGCAGAAGCTCTTCCCTGTGAGGGTGCTGAGGCGCTGGCACAGGGTGCCCAGAGAAGCTGTGGCTGCCCCATCCCTGGAGTGCTCAAGGCCAGGTTGGACACAGGGGCTTGGAGCAAGCTGCTCCAGTGGAAGGGGTCCCTGCCCGTGGCAGGGGTTGGAGCTGGAGGAGCTTTAAGGTCCCTTCCAACCCGAACCAGGCTGGGATTCTATGACTTACCTCATGGATCCAGAGTGTCAGCCAAGCTACCAGCCACCTGTACGGTTTGGGTTCTTAAAAAGGAATGCATGGGACATTTTTTTTAGGCTGTAAACAAATGTACAACATTTGCTGTACAACATTGTACATCAGGAAATGTACAACGTGAATTGCAATAATGTCTCAGTATCTGGAAAGCCAAATGAAGGTGCTGAAGGAGGAAAGAGAACCTCAAGACTCGCCCACAACATTTCTGTGCTGGGGAGCTTTCCTCATGCTTTCTCTGGTTCCAAACATGCACAAACTGAACAGCACCACACAGCCCCACAAACCAGCAAGATACAGTGAGATTTAACACAATGTATGAGCTATTTAAAATTATTAGAAAAACTAAAAGGGCCTTAAAGTCATAGAACCAAGATCATGTCAACCATATCTTTTGCTATGAGCTAGATTTCACCAGAGAAGTGCTGTAAAGCACTGACCTGGGCCACAAGTATTGTATCTCACATACACTGTTGCTGGACTGAACCCGTTTCTATCGCCATAGCACCTGAGATCTTTGGCTGCAATGTGATAAACACAGACTTGTATTTCTGTCCACATACCTGTCCATAGTTAAGTGCCATTCACTGATATGCCACGTAAGAATAATGTAGCCCTTCTGGAACCACTTACAAGTTGATATTTTTACCTCTGCCCTCACAACCCCTGCACAAAGCTTCATGACAGGCCCCTCTATGGAGGCTCCAGCTCACCAGCTCCAACATACACATAGCATTCCCTTTTGAAAGCCTGATTTTCCTCTGCTGTGTCACTGCCAACTCCTTCAGGCTGTTCTCTGAATACACAGTGGGGTTTTTAAGCACTGGGTTTTCCATACTTTGCTCCACTGGTCCCACAAACTTCTTTCTCTAAGTGGCTGTATTGGCTCTTGAGTGTCCCCCTGGGCAAAACCATGCTTTAGCAGCACTGCAAGAGCAGGAATGCAGCCTGAGACTCATTAAAAGTCTGTTGACGGTCTCAGGCTCTCCTGGTATTGAAGATTCATCAGTTTCCTTTTCAGTGAGAATGTATTGGAATGCAGGATTGTAAAAGTGGAGCAATATGAACCAATTATATGGCAGTAAAGCCTGTGCCTGCATGCTAAATTTCTGTTGTGCTGGGATGGTGTTAGATTTCCTGGTATGTTGCCAGAATCTGCAGGTATTCACTATAAATTCTGACACAGTGACAAAACTATGGTTTTGCAGTGTAATGGAGTTTCAGAGGTGAATGTTTGCATGCTCTCTTCTCCTTCACCAGCACAAGGAAAGCACAGCCTGCTCCACAGAGCTGCACTGATGGGTACAGCTTGGGAACTTGGGAAAACAACAAGCAAAACACAGTATATCAAAGAATTCCTCTTTAGGGCTGGCAATCACTATCGCAATGTTGTCCTGGGTTCAGCAGTAGCAGTCATTTTTCTCCTTCTTAGTAGCTGGTACAGTGCTGTCGTTTTGACTTTCAGCCTGAAAACACTGGTGTTACCAGTGGTGTTATCAGCTGAACCCAGGACAAATGTGTCACACCAAAACAAGCTGGATACCTTGGAATCCCTCTGCTCTGTCTATTTAGGTGCTTGGAGCTGCAGCTTTGTTTCCACTTCCTCAGTTTCTATGCTGTTGATGTGAAAAGCACTAATGGTATAATCAGGGAACGTATTCAGGTTTACATCAGCTCCTTCAAATGCAGATCATGAGCCTCTGGTCTTGTCTAATTTTAACGAATAACCAAGTACAAGCAAAAAAAGCACATAAACAATATAAACAAATGAAAGATCTGAGGCTCCCAAATACTTTTGAACACAGACATGAAATGGTATGTTAACTCACATAGGCACTTTCAGAAAGCTTCTTAGTCATCTTGTTTATGTACAAAGATGCCCTTGGTATTCTCCTGCCTTATATCAACCACCAGTATCCTACTGCTTTCCATGAGGCATGGCTTGCCCTGTACTCGCAGCTCGGTCACCATCTGGAGTGTTGAGAAACACCACACAGAGGTAATAAACCAGGGAGAGAAGAGCTGGGGTGGGTGTGCGGTACACCAAAACCCGTCTATCAAAATAATAACAAGACACAAGTCAATAAATGAGCACTGATTTACAGTACAGTTCCCAAATTCCAAATCTAAAGATGTGTGAACTGAATCGCCTGGAGGAGCAGGTTGTGAGGAGCAGAGGAAAAGGCGATGCGTACCATGTAATGAGAGAGAACCTTCATTCTGTATGAGGCAGCTGCAGCCTGCAGCCAGCAGATCTGAACTCAAAGAGGGGGCTGAGAAAGTTGGGGCTGTTCAGCCTGGAGAAGAGAAGCTGCGTGGAGACCTCAGAGCACCCCTCCAGTATCTAAAGGGGGGCTATAGGGATGCTGGGGAGGAACTCTTCATTAGGGACTGTAGTGATAGGACAAGGGGTAACGGGTTAAAACTGAAACAGGGGAAGTTTTGACTGGACATAAGGAAGAAATGCTTTACCTTGAGGGTGGCGAGACACTGGAATGGGTTGCCCAGGGAGGTTGTGAATGCTCCATCCCTGGCAGTGTTCAAGGCCAGGCTGGACAGAGCCTTGGGTGCCACGGTTTAGTGTGAGGTGTCCCTGCCCATGGCAGTGGGGTTGGAACTGGATGATCTTAAGGCTCTTTCCAACCCTAACTGTTCTATGATTCTGTGATACAAAACTTGGTAAGAGCAGCGCAGTGGAGGATGGTGGGTGAGATAAAATTACTCTGATAAAGAACAACTAAAGAAAAAGAAAGTACTAATATTAAATAAGGCTAGAGAAATTGGAAAGGGTAAATTCATCCAAAAGAAGTTTGTAAGGAAGAAGTAGTATGGAGCATGGCAAGGAGAGCAATTCCCTGCTGGTACTGTTTCTACATTTGTCACACAGGAAAAAAAACTGGAAGCAAGCCTGAAGTAAAGCAAGAAAAATGCTACATACAAAAAACAAAGCAATAGACTCCACATTTAGTTCATTTTAACATCTTTTGCCCTAAAAAGTAAAACACCTGTTCCTGTTAAAGCAACACCAGAGGGTAAAGCAATAGTAACAGCAGGAATTCAAACAATAACCATTACAGCAAAGAAAGAGCCCACGTGGTTTTCTCCTCTGACCACTGTGGTCTTGGATGTTCTCCTTCACATACTAAATATTGTATCCCATTCAGTATCTGCAATGGGACCTTTTTCATCACTTACAGCACTCCCACTGGACATCCACAAGCTGCAGAATCTGCCCTTGGCTATTTTTCTAAGCAGCTTTTGGGAGAAGGTCATAACTGGAGAACCAAATCCACTGCCCAGAGAAGAAGAAAAAAGAGCTTAGTTTTGGCATTTCAAAGAGAAATATTCAAAGCTCCTGCATGTGAAAAATTAATAAGCTGACCAAATATTTGAAAGCTGAACAAGTAACATTTCCATAGCAAAACTAAAGCTGAAGGATCTGAAACAAAATAAGGGCATCCATCCAGCAAGAAGGAAAAGATAAGCTGGTTTCCTCTCTAAACTTCCCCAGCTTTCCTTGGAGGTTGCACGGTTCAAAGAGGATCGAGTTCAAACAGTTCTTCAGCATCTGAGTCCAACCTTGATCACAGTGCGTTCTCTTGGGAACCAGAAAGTAGGAAATGATCAGTTACATTCCAAAATAAGGCAATGCATTAGAAAGCATAGGCCTCATCCTGCACCTGGTAGAGAAGCTCTGTGCTATTTCCCTGTCCCCTCTGAACAGTACCGCTTTCCATCCATTGTAGCTGTGCTGGCAGCTTGTTCTTTCCAGCCACCTCCATAATATTCTGTGAGACAACAAAAATATACATGATTCCCACCCATCAAGGGGAAATTTCACCATCCCTTATGAAATTGGCCTTGGTGCTACCTGCACCTCGCAGCAATATCCCATTGTCTTGCTCACTTCTGAGCAAGTTCCATAACTCTCTAAGGGAAGGAGGTCTCCCCCTCCTGCTGTAAGGTCCCACCTCACCTCTGCTTCAACATGTAGCAAAACAACACTCTCTGCCATGGTTGTATTAACTTATCACGCTGCTTTCCATGCAGGAAGGAAGTAGAATGCTCAGAGGAGATGGAAAGACACATTCAGGCAGCTGCAAGTCCTGCCTTAGTGCTTGATAGTGCTTAATCAGGCAGCAACTTCAGAGTTATTTGTTCAAATTATTCCTTTAATTTGAATTACAATTGAATCTTTCAGCTAACTGAGCTCAACCTGAGCTTTTAAGGCTTGAACATTCAAACTGAGGCAGGCCTGTCTATAAAAACAGTGAACTGAATATTCCTATTAGGTTCTTGGGATGCTTTCTTTCTCCTGAGTTCAAAATGCAGCAGCTTATTAAGCAGCAGCTTCTCTCCTGAGCCACTGGAAGAATCAGCCTTTTGTCAGCACATGGTACCACAGGCACACGTTCATTTTCCCCACAACACTCCCTGGCTTCAAAACATCAGCTTGACTCACGACTGCAGGCTCGATCTGCAACTGCTTGTACAGTGAGGGCAACGAACATCCAACGTGTGCACAGCAGCAAACAGCTGATGAGTCATTCCCAAATTTGTCATACATTAACGGCACAGCCAGGCTCTGCTGGGGAAAGGGGAAGGTGGTGCTTTAAAAGGCTTTAAAAATCAGGGAACACGCTGAACTTTCAGCTTGTTCACCAAAAGGTGTAATTTGGCAGCGTCAACAACGTTCAGAAAGCATCGGGTTCACGCATTTCATTGCCCCAGGTTTTCTTTGCCACAAGTCAGAAAACACACAGTGCTACCCAGAATTGGAAATAAAATAATAGCTCAGCTATGGTCATGTAAAGCTGCCTGCAAAATTACCACAGGAAGTGAATACGCTACACAAGAGACCTTCTCAGCTTTACTGTGGTATCTGATAGCAATAGCACAAACCAATTCTCTTATTCTTCCATTTAAAACACCCCTTCAGCCTCAGCGAGCTGGCAACATGAAAGGAGGGTGAAGCAACGTGGGGGTCAGCTTCTTCTCCCAAGGAAGTAGGGATGGGACAAGAGGAAATGGCCTCAAGATGCACCAGGGGAGGTTTAGACTGGAGATTAGGGAAAATTTCTTCACTTAGAAGGTGTTCAGGCATCGGAACGGGCTGCCCAGGGCAATGCTGCAGTCACCATCCCTGGGGGGATTTAAAAGCTTCCTAGTGATGCTCCTGGGACTGAGCCTGTGCAGGTTCTCTCATGGAATGCCTGGCGAATACCACACTCACGCCTTCTATCACAGCATTTTCACTTTGCAACTTGGCATTGACCCATATCATACAGACCATTCTTTTCCCAAACCTTATTCATACCATGTGGCTTCTACCAGCCAAAGACTGTTGCTCCCTACCACATGAAGAAACAGGCCAGGCACTGCCTCTTGGACAGTGCTTTGGGGAACAAGAATAGGTCTCTTATGCAGGTCCATTTTCACCCAGTGGAGCTGCTGCTATCTCTGCCTCCCTCACAGGCTTTTGTTTATTTAATGCCCTAGGATTAGAATTGCTTTACAGAAATAAAGGCTTTTCTTCTGGAACAATACAAATTAAGATCTATGTTGGAACATGTAATTATCCTACATGTGTCTGAAATCAAGGAGAGCCAGTCAGATGCTGATCTGTAATGCTATGTTATTTTCACAGCATATAATTTTCAGATCACACACATCAATATTGTAATTGGATTATGGAAGCAGAGGGTATCTTTATTTACATACATTTCTTTTAACCCTGAGAAGTGCTGTGATTTCCCGTCTTGGTAAATGTTTTCCTCTCAAAACCCACATCACCTTATAATGACTGCAGGTTGAGATGGATGGCCTGTGGCTGGGAAAGCCCTGCTTGCTACAGAGATGATTTCATTTGGGATATTCATTCTAATTGCAGGCACATTTCCTGCAAAGGTTGTTGAAATCAGAAAACACTCCAAACCTAAACATTCACAATTCCCATAAATATAATGAGATTATCTCAAAAAAAAAAAAAAAGGGAAAAAAGGGGAAAAAAAGCCGTAAGACTTGCAAGCCAGCCATACAGTTTTGGGACCGCACTGTTTCAAGCCCCAGTAAAGTTTTGCTTCATATTGATTTGTGACTTGTGGCAGATCTGGTGTCCTCAACATCAGAAGGGCATGGAGCTGTTGGAGCAAGTCCAGAGGAGGATATGAGGATGCTCAGGGGCTGGAGCACCTCCTGTATGGAGCCAGGCTGAGAAAGTTGGGGCTGTTCAGCCTGGAGAAGCTGTGTGGAGACCTCAGAGCAGCTTCCAGTGTCTGAAGGGGGCCTATAGGGATGCTGGGGAGGGACTCTTCATTAGGGACTGTAGTGACAGGACAAGGGGTAATGGGTTCAAACTGAAGCAGGGGGAGTTCAGGTTAGATTTAAGGAAGAAGTTCTTTACTGTGAGGGTGCCCAGAGAAGTTGTGAATGCTCCATCCCTGACACTGTTCAAGGCCAGGTTGGACAGAGCCTTGGGTGCCACGGTTTAGTGTGAGGTGTCCTTGCCCATGGCAGGGGGGTTGGAACTGGATGATCTGAAGGTTCTTTCCAATCCTAACTATTCTATGATTCTGTGACTGACAGAGATACCAGTGGAGCCTTTCCCCCAGCTACACTGATCAAGGTTGCCAGAAGAGGGTTGTCATTCCTAGGAAAAATCCTTGCTCAAGTCCTGTATTTGGGTTGGACTTTTCTAGTGGGTTACTTCCATCTGCTTAGTTCCATGAAATTGTAACAAACCTGTGAGAGTTCTGCTCGTCTTCCTTATGAACTTTGGTTGGAATTGAGCAGTGACTTTAAAGTTATAAACCTATGGAGGAGCAGGAGAAATGCAAAAAGTGCTTTCTTTAGAGAAAAGGTGACTAAGATGAACGTGCACTGTGACTTCTTTGTCCTCCCATTTCAGAGTGGTTGGAAAGCACTCAGGTCATGTTAGCAATTTGTTTTCAACATGAAGACTTGTATTTTTTTCCTTGTGAAAAATGCCATCTTGGATTTAGAAGCCTCTGGAGCATGATTTCAAGGAAAACACAGAAGCTGCTGCAAAATGTTTGAGCTTATTCTTAACACTAAAACCAGTGTCACATCAGTAGGAGTGGTACACACTTCACCGCAAGCTCGCTCAGCTAAGAGGGATGTTTTAGTTCTGGTTTTGTTCTTGTCTTAGAGTCTGAGATTGTTCATGTCAGTGTCAGCTGAAGTCATGTGCAGGTTTGGAACAAGGAACAGTCATTTACTGGCAATTGGTTTAAAACAAAAAGCAAGAAACAAAAAAGCAA